CATGCATGCTCATCAACCATTCTGAAAAGCAACCATACAATAATTAGAACATACCCAAAAATCCTCATTCACAGGTTTCCTAGATTCTCCGTGACTCCCCTTGATTCGAGTATGGGTCATGTGCATTCAGTAGTATGGGCCCAATACTACCTTTCACACTTATCCATACTTTCCTCAGGAGTTATTCTGAATCCTCTAAGTCACCTTCTCAAATCGGTACTCCAAGTACTCGCTAAACAACGCAACCAAACCCACTAAAACACTTCTTAGGCTCTCTTAGGTTCCGACCTCACCCTGCCATCAGGTGTTGAAGAACTTCTACTAATTCCAGCTAGTTACTTCATGAATACAATCATATGCCATAAAGCTTAGATAATCCTTCGAGTAACAGACTCAACCCTACAACGGTTGGACTCAGAAAAGAGCTGCACAATAGGGTCAAATCTATCACTATGAGATTATTTAACCTTTGCAACATGCAACTTAACATATTCATGAAGTAATTAGCTCACATTAAATTCAGGCCCGTCCCAGAGGGTGGGCGATAGGGGCGACCGTCCAGGGCCCATCTTTTAAAGGGGCCCAAATTTTTTATGGAAATTATTATATTTAGAAGATAGTACAAGTAATTTTCTTTCAATTGTTGATTTATTATAAAAAACTTGATGACATTTGTGTATTTTTAGGGCCCATTTTTTTTTCTTTCGCCCTGGGCCCAAAATTAGTTTGGAACGACCCTGCATTAATACGAGTCCCACAAAGCACAAAGTAAGCAACATTCGTGCAGTAACACTCCAAGCCACAGAACATACAAAGAACATCCCAAGTTCACTTACTACAACCAATATAGATTCCAAATCTAGCATATCATCTAATTCTCTTAGGCTACAAGGCATTACATATCAGGCCAACCTATCATGCAAGTCCTGAAAGTATCCATAGCTTCATCCTAGCATGCAAGTATTCATATCATATATCATATCAACATATATGTGTATTATGGGAATCACTTACTTGAGCTCGGCTGATTGCACGCATCACACCTCCTTTTTCTTTATAAAAATCTTTTCATAAACTTATTTTCTTTAGGAAAAATCTTTTTAGAAACTTATTTTCATTCAAAAGATTACCAATTCCTCAGTTTGAGTTCAGACATACTCGAGAGCGTTCCTGAATCCCTCAAAACAAGGCTCCGATACCAACTTGTAATGTCTCCAAAATTATAAGGTAAAAATTTCATTTTTAAATCAATAAAACATACAACGAGTTGTTCCAAAGCCGATCAAAGTGAATATATTATTTAAACATCAGAGTAATTTCATTAATTTCCAATGTCGAAAACTCCGGTGGATGTTGTGCAGTCACACTGGGCCCTTCCCTTTCGAACCGAAAGTACCTGAAACCATAAATATGAAACTGTAAGCACAAAGCTTAGTGAGTTCCCCAAAATACCACATACCCAAAACATACAAGTGTCATGGGCTATCCCCATGGTATTTCCTTGTAATACTGAGGGCCAAATCTCGATCTTAGATACAAATGTCATGGCCTACCCCCAGGGTCTTTCCTTGCAATGCCGAGGGCAAATCCCGGTCTTACATACAAGTGTCATGGCCAGATCCTGTTCTTTCATACAATTGCCAGGGGCTAAATCCTGGTCATTCATGCAGCATCATAGAGACAACTAGCATTCCACATAACAAGTAATGGGTCAACATTGGTTCCTTCGACCCATCGATATAGTGAGAAAACTCACCTCAAACTGTTGAAACAACCTGATAAATGCTCGGTCTGCTGATTCGGGAAATCTCCGCACTAAATATCATCAAATAATACCCTGATTAATAATTAGGTCATAAACTATAACCGGGGCCCAAACTCATCATCCTCAACCTCTAGGGTAAAAGACTATTTTACCCTTTTCCATACTGGGCCCAACTAGCTTGACCCAACCTAATAGCACCAAAAAGCCCAAAATGGCCCAAACTCCTAAATGATACCCAAAGCCCACTATGGGGCCAAATCCAGGAAAGCCCAAGGCCTAACAATGGCCCAAAGTCAAAAGGATTAGTGGCCCAACAAGGCCCAAAAACCCTAGTAGTCCAAATATGGCCCAAAACCTAAAAGTCAACAAAAGTCAATGGCAGTTGAGTACGCCCAACGTATGCCTCCTTTGGCCAGTACGCGCAGCGTACGAGGTGGGTACGCCCAACGTACTCCAAAGCCAACCCAAATCACCATTAAGTGCTTAATCGGTTAAGCCACTATGTCCAATTCTCAGATCCGATCCTATATGATGTCTTAACACGTAAAGTTGGTAACTTTACTCCTTTGAATGTCTTAATAGGACCCAAAACTCAATAAAATCCATAATAAGCACCCTAACTCATGCATGGTCCAATATAACTCATCAAGATTGAATTTTTATGAACAAAGGACCTCAAAAATGCTAAGATCTATCGTCCTTATCTTTTGAAGCAGCTCATACTCTCATGCATGACTTAAATGACCATAAAAAGCACAAAAACAAGCCCTAACTAGATCTATCAAAATGAATCATCAAGTTAAGAGCTTTATACATCCAAAAGCTTTCCAAGTTAATGATGATTCTGGATCCACAAGCTCTAGCCACATTAATGCAACTTCCAAGAGTTCTTCTTCCTTCAAAATCACCAAAAACACTCTCAAAGTTCACTTCTAAGCTCAAAACACTCAAAGAGCAATTAGGGTTTCGTTTTTAGGGCTTGGAGAGGTGGAGGCTGGTCATAGGAATGTCCAAGAGTTAATTAAGGTGTTTAAATAGGGAACAACCCCTAAAAATTAGGGTTTGCCCCTGGTTACTAAACGCCCCGCGTACCTCTACGTACGCCCATCGTACTCGGCTAGGGACTAAAACCACCAATCTTCGGAAGGCCATAACTTATTCATTCTAAGTCTGATTTTGACGTTCTTTATATCCACGAAAAAGGTAATGAGAAGCTCTACAATTTTATCAACTCATTTTGCCTTAAAACTTACTGAGCTTAAATCCAAAATTCATAAAAGGCCCGAACTATCACTTTACGGTTAAACCCTTGGGCTCCAACACACAAACCAAACTGTCGGATCACCTAATCCACATTATCCACATCCAAGGGGTATAAATTTCTCCTTCCCCAAGTCCCATAGCCATAACTAATCTTTAGGTGACAACCCCGAATTATGAAACCATTCGAAACAGGGTGTTACAACCATCATCCTCAAGGATGACGTATTTCTTTAGCTTCTGCTTTATCACCCTCTCAGAATGCCTTCTCAACCTGGAAACAGCGTGTTGGGTCCTAAAACACTTCGTGTTGCACCGTTTTTCAGAATCAATTTAAGGATCGTTTCTGTTCAAAACTCTAACGAATGTTGGAGGTTTTTAGCGATTTTTGGAGGCCATAGACATCCCCAAGGAGCTATGGATTACCGAATTTGACTTGAAGCTTTTGGTTGAAGAGATCTAAGGCAAAATCACATTTACTTTACTTAATTCTCTTGTTTACATCATGTTTACACTATTGAATTTCGTTTTTATGATTGTTTCTGCTAAAGTCATGGGCTAAACACCCTACTTTCGTTTAGAGTAGAGGATCTTATGATTATGGTTTGATTTTGTGGCTTTGGATTATGTTTAATTGATTATTCATCATGCTAAGTTTGTTAAAAGAACCTTATGTATTAATGAAAATTATTTTATGTTGATTAATAAGTTTATTGAGATTGCATGAACATCTTTTTTAATTGCTTGCCTCTTATGATTTTGTGACTATCAAGATTGTAAGCCTAGTGTTGTGAACATAACCTAGGTTTAACTAGAAAATAAGTAAGTTAATGTGTGAGATATATATGATGACCAACCATATATAAGTTAATCGAACCAACCAATTTAATTAACTACTATTACAAATCTTGCATGATTCGAACTTAACACTAGGAAACTTCTTAGTTTAATCAACTTATCACTGCTTGAATTTACTTGATTTCTAAATGATTAGTAATAGTGAACATGAACCTAATCATATTAGAAATCGGTAATTGATAATACAATAATTTATTGCACTTGCCACAGAATCAACCATAGGATTAAGTGAACCAAATCTAAACGAAAGTCTCTTTAATATTATTGAATCAAGTTGTCTTTTGTCCTTCAATTAGTTGTTAATTGTTTTTTTGTTAAGTGCTTAATTGATTGTCTAAGTTTCTAGTCTTGCAAAACTAGAGAAAACCCCCTCTTTAATAATTGTTTTAATTAGTTAAAATTAGTTATAGTTTAATTATTTTACCGTTCCCTGTGTTCGATACCTTACTTACCTGCACTAAACTATTATTCGAATAGGTACACTGCCTATCGTGTGTTGGTTTTTGTTTAAGTTATTTAGAATTAAAACTAGTACATTCCACACATATCAAATATCCTCCCTCAAAACGAATGTAGCATCTTGTTACGGTGGTGAACCACTCTAAATCTTGGCGATTTGTATTTTTTTTTTGTAATAAAAAATCAAAGGATCACCTTTTAATTTATTTTTATTAAAAATCAACATATGTTCAATTTATTTTATTTTGTTTTGGGGTTATTCAAGAATCTTTAATTTCTATCAAAAGTGTCATAGGCAACCCCAAGTATGCACTTTCATCGAAGAAGATTATATGGTTTTTCTTGGTGATCATGATATTTCTACCATCAAATTTAATCATAGAACCCATAGCAAATATACAACATTTTAATGCATAAAACATAACTCATCATATGTAATAGAAAACCAATTCTACCACCTGTTTTTGCGAATCAAAAATTCCAAAAAATGTTCATAACATCCTTCCATTACAATTTACAAAGACCTTGTTTCTTCTTACCAATCAAATTCTAAACCCTCTTAAACATCGACAATAAAATTGTTCCCGAATCATCAAACATGTTATTCTCCAAATCTCAGGGAGTCAAAAATTAGGGTTTTCTTGTTTTATTACAAAAACTAATGAAGCACTTCGAAGAGAGACATTACCATCATTGGGTGGACCTCTAGATATAAGATCATAGTTTAAAAATAAAACAATTACAGTTATATCATCATGGAAATGTCTACGAACATGTTTATCGATTTTACGTAGATCCCAATATCGCATTTCTCGTTTTTTAGCTGCTTCTTGTAAAGCAACTTTCACTAGCCTCTTTGCAATTCCCTGCAAGAGAAAACATCAGTCACTGTTTTCTCGATTTAGTGAGTTGACTACTTTTGGACTAATTAACTTGGTTAAAAAAATGCATAAAGTACTTTCATCATTATTTTCAACTTACCATTAAATTATTGTTATTTTTCTTTTATTAAAAGTACTCTACCGGGTAATAAAAAAATTTGTTGTTTAATTGGTTGCAAAGGATAGTAATTTATTTATTATTAAAAAATAGTTAAATAGCTAAGTGGATGACATGGTGACTACTTTATCAAATAAAACACTCAGTTATAATTATTTTTTTGGGGTTAATTACTTAATTGTATAAAAGACACAACACTTTTGACCATTTTCGGATAAGTCCTAATTTCTTTCTTTACAATATAAACCATAAGAGTTGACCAAACTTCCTTTTTTTGCTTTTTATCCGATTTACCAAATTAGATTTTTGCTGAAAAAAGTGATCAAAATGTTATGTCTCTAATGCAAATATTATTTCATGTTTATTTGCATAAAAGACACAATATTTTGACAACTTTCCTAGAAGATACCTAATATATCTTTTGGTTTAAGTTGTAAAAAATAGCCCTATTTTTCATTGTGTTTTCATATACTTTAAAAGGAAAATATTATATAGAAAAGTTAAGTGGCTAAATGGATAAAATAGTGAAAGTACAAAGGGTTTTTTTGTAATTTCTTTAATGTAGGAGGAGAAAACTTATTACTTACAGGGTGTGGACTACGATGAACAATGTCAACAGCTTCTTCATTGGTCAAATGTTCCCATAAACCATCAAAAGCAAATATAAGAAAAGAATCATAGGCTTCAATTGGATGTGAAAGAATTGTTGGAGTAGCAGACATTATTGACATCACCATTGGTTCAGGAAGTATGAATTTTGCAACAATTGGTTCTTTATTATATCTAGCATGTTTCATATAAACATCCCCAATTAGCCTAGAAACCTTCAAAACCCAACAAACATTCAAATTTAGCCACTTTTTAAAAAAATAAAATGCACATCATAATTCATATGATAGAGAATACTTACCCTATTCATATAATACCTGAATAATGCCTTTGACTCTCAGAACTCCATGCTTCATAAAAACAATTTCTTCATCATATGGATGCAAATCTCTTAACTAGTATCTAACACTCTTAAGATTTGCATTGTGTTCAGTTGATAATCGAACAGCATTTACAACACCTCCACCATTAACCGATTTTCTCCCAAGAACAACACGCAAATCTCTAAGATTTGCCACAAAAAGTGTTTGATGATACACAACTCCAACCAAACAACAAGATACACATGTTGCAACACTCGATTTACTATCCCACATTTCAGATATAAGATCCGTATACCTATTTTCCGTTTCCAAAAACGCCATTTTAATCATCTCGGGTGTCACACCTCCATCCAAATTTTCTGCATGAACAAGTTATATGTGACTATAATAATTTTGGAACATTAGAAAATAGAAAAGATAATGAGTATTAAATTGACCTTGAAAATGTTTGAACAAATTATCGCAAACATATCGTGCAACATTGGGTCCTCCATGACCATCATAAAAACCAACAAATTTACCAAAAGGACCCGATTGGATTTGGATTTCATCTTCAAGAACATGGTTTGCTTGAATTATAGCAATGAAGTATTCACCATATCCATGTTTTCCAATATCATGAAACCATAATAATCCATCTTTTCCAAAATCGCCAATGTTTTCAACACCAACACCTATTTCTTTGTCATCACGCCCAAAAAATGGCTCCCAACAACACGTACACTAACTCATTGGTCTTTCAGCGTACCATATTTCTTGCACAAAATCCACCAAATTGGAATCTCACAAATGCACTTGAAATTAATCAGATTTTCAAGTGGGGTTTCTTGAAAATATTGAATTTCTAAAAAAGATCAAATCTTGTGACATATTAAAATAAATCCACACAACTATGACCAGTATGTGAAGTGGGTTTCTCACAAAATCTTGATTTTTCAAAAGGTCAAACCTTCTACTTCCGTTTACTCTTTTAAGGCAAATTCAAAATAGGGTTTCTTTCAAATCTGGAATTTCTCAAAAGACCACACCTTTTAATTCCAAATCTTATGAGTAATCTATAGATATACAATTGTCTCTAGCATAAATCAAAACTAAATTTCTATCCCCTTTCTTATTTCAGCCTTAACACAAAATGGGTTTCCACTCAAAATACTGAAATTCGTACCACAGTCTCATGAGAAACCAATAAATATAAAAGACTTACGTAATAAACAGAAACAAAACTTGTGAATGGTTATGTGAATCTTGATTTCATGAATCTGAAATTAGAGGAATAGCCTTAGTAGAGAGAATGTTGTGTGGGAGAAGAAGAAACATGTGTTGAATTGACTGAAATCCATTGGAGAGAAGGTGGCGTAGGAGCAATTTGTTGGGTGTTATTTTCAGTGTCTCCCTCTTTCTCATTTCCTAGTTCATAGAATCTGTGTACTATACAGATTTATTTTAAAAATAAGTTATATAAAAAACTAAACAGTTTGAAACTTTGAATTTATAACGAAAGTAAAATAAAAATATTAAATTAATGAATTGAAATGTTTATTTAAAAAAATTTAAATAAATAAACAAAAGAAATAGTTAGGTTTACTTTAGAAATTTTTATAGCAAAAAGAAAGTTGCATTAATAAATTGATAGTCATTTATCATTACATTTATTATAATTAATACATTTACATACTATGTGGAATTTAATAAAATAGAAAAAAACCATAAAATGATATGTGAAAAAAGATTGATTTAAAATAATCACAAAATGACATGCAGCAAAATAAATGAGAGTATGACATGTGGCAAAAAAAAGATGTTTATTTATTATAGTAGACTAGTTTATAATCTATAAGAACCACAGTTACAAAATTAATTAAATTTTCATAGGAAAAACTTAAAATTATTAAATAATTATTTTAAATAAATTATTATTAAGAGATATTTTTTAGTTATATAAATTTATAATCGTTGACTTAAATAACTACGTGAAAATATATCACCTTATAACTTTTATTAATCTTATTTTAATTTTATTCTAATATTATTAATTAATGCAATTAGAGTGTGAAATTTGAAATTTCAGATTTGAAATGGAGAAACAATATGTTGACAAATAACATAACATTAATTAGAAGGCCTAAGAGGGTGACACATGACAAATAAAGAATAAACATATTATTTTATTAGAATAGAGAGATTTTTTTTAATGTTTAATCTTCAAAAATAGATTTAAATTTTAATAATGTTGCAAATTGTTTAATGTAATCCATATGGAGCAACAAGAAGCTAATCAAAATAGATTTGAAAAAGCAAGAGAAATCCTATTATTAATTAGAGATTATATAGATTAATATACCTTTCACAACTAATGAGACAAATTTTTATTTTCAAAAACTAAAACAAAAGGTATATATA